CGCTTTCTAAGACCCATATATGAGAGCGCTTCTGAGGTAAAAAGCGCTTTCGTATGTCCCCCATATAAGAGCGCTTTAGAAAGCGCTTTCGTAGGTCCCCCTTTCAGAGCGCTTTTCAAAAGCGCTTTTATAGGGCCACCTATAAGAGCGCTTTTCAAAAGCGCTTTCGTAGGTTAGATATTTCAAATACCTATGAAAGCGCTTTCTGAAAAGCGCTTTCGTAGGAAACCCTATAAAAGCTCTTTTTTTAAGCGAATTTTTTTTAAAGGCTACGAAAGCGCTTTCTCTTAAAAGCGCTTTCGTAGATGCGCTGCCAAAAATTGTTTTTTTCGTAGTGACATCCGTTAACTTAAACAAAACCATAAATATATATTACAAATCCATTCCTAGAAATGAACTTCATCTTCAACCTCCAACCAGGGTCCCTGTATCTCATTCATTTCTCATCCATTCTCAAAACTTCCAACATCAAACTTGGTAAAAATTTTACCAGGATTTAAAATATGTAAATAACTTAAGCAATGGATCAAAAATGAACACGGATTTTAAATGGTACCAAATCTGACCTAATTTTTTTCCAGATATTCAAACTTAAAATTCTCTAAGCTTAGGCAAAATAAATGAAAACTATGGATATGTACAACTTCAGAGCAATGATATCTACATTTTATCTTTGAAAATGCAAGCCTAACAATGCCTAATGAAGAGATGGAAGTTCAGAAAGATATCTCAAAAACTGGAAATCGTGAAATGAGTTTGAGCTTGTTTCAAGTGATGGTGATGATCAGGTTAGCTTCCTCAAGTTCCCAGGAAGCTAATGCAATGCTTAGCTTGAGCTATGAATGGCTGGAATGGTCTGGAGAAGTCAAGATGCAAGCTCTGTTTTTTGGTTATGGAGAAAGGTGATGGATATGTTACAGTCGTGTAACAGGGTGTGGGATTGTTTATAAATGATGTTTAGGAACTTCTAGAAGTGAAAGGCCAAGAAACGCACGAGTGGATTAGGTGTTTGGGATTTCTGGCCAGAAAGTGCAACAGTGGATATTGTTTATGCAATCCTGACTTTGAGAGGGTTTGAGGGCTTAAGCATTCGTCTGTTATCTTGCAAATAGTGTGTGTATTTATAGGAAAGAGGTTTTGTATGCTACAACAAGTCAAAAATTGAAATATCAAGTTGTAAAACTTTTACTTGTTTTTGAAGCAATCATGACAAACATCTTCCCAAAGCTTGTACCATGCTATTGTAGAGTGGTTGAACTTTAAACAATCTTGCTTATGACTTATAGATGTTGTGTGTGCAAAAGGAACAAATGCAAAGCTCAAGACAAGTTAACTTTGCATAAAGCTTGCTTTTTCAAAATGGAAGTGGTGACTTTCTTCCTTAAATGGTAAGGTGTATTGGACAAAGCTTAAATCAAGTGGTTCATAGCTCAAAAGCTTGTGCAATCTTATGATTAAGGATAGATACACAAGTTAGAGGGCTTGAAAAGTGAGATTATGCAACATTGCTTGGAATTGGATCAAATGTTCATCATGAAAATGACTTGAAAAATAAGTTTGAAACCCTAACTTCTTGCCTTTGATTCTCTTAGCTCAAGTATAATCTCAATGAGTTCTTGGATATTTTGGAAAGCTCGTAACATCCCCTACAACATTCATGTTGGACATTTTTGAATATTCAATTTGGAACTAGGTGAAAAGTTTCCATGAAGTTAGGTCAAAATCCCGACTAACTAGGACAAAATTTCACTAAGTCTTTTAGTTTCATGGACATGTCTTCATAAATTCATAACTTGAAATCCAAGCATTTCTAGAAAAAGTTCTGCCCTACAATGTTTTAGATATCATTGAGATATACAACTTTCATGTTGGAAGTTTTCCTTGAATCATCTTGCATCATGGTGGAAATTTGGCACAAAGTTATGAAAAAAATGTTAAAATTATAACACTTAGAAAAATTTCTAAGTCTTAGAATTTTGACTTTTCAAAGATAACTTTGACTTTTTAATTTCTTGATGAACAAGTTTCATATTTTGACATGTCTTGATAAAATATTTTTTTGAAACTTGATTTTGCTCAAAAAGTCAAAGTTTGACTTTTTCAGTGTACAACTGACTTTTCATCAATTGATTGAAATTCATCTGTCAATCCAATGATCTTGAGAGGTGATTTGAACCATGAAATTAAGTCAAGATGGTGTATTTGAATCCTTGAGATCATTTCTTGAACCAATAAGTCATTTTCTTGGTCAAAAGTCAAGAACTGAGCCTTCTTAGTTAAAACCCTAATTTTGACCATTTTGCCCTTTTGGTGTTCTGATCAAATTTCTTTGAGGAATTATGATCCAAACTTGATCAATTGATATATATGAGTTCATAATATTGATATGGATAAAAAATTATGAAGTTTGACTATAAATTAACCACAGTTGACTTTTTCTCCAATACAACTGATTTTAGGTCAACCGATCAATTGACTGAGCAATCTTGGGAGTCCAAAATGATCCATGAAGGTCATATAAGGCATTAGAAGTTCAATTATCTTTGTACAAACTCAAACCCTAATTTTGAGTTGTCAGTGTTGAGGAGGTGTCTTGAGCTGATTAAACCTTGTGTAGTCTTGAATCAATGGAAATCTTATGAAAGATCCCTTGAGAAATAAGAGGGAAAATTTTGGGGTACAACAACTGTACACAACTTCTGACACTAAATTCCGCAAAATATTTACTCGACTTCGACTTCTATCTTCCAGCTTTAATAATGTTTCTCCAAGCTTCCAATCTGCAATGACATTTACTCATCCCTACCAGCTCCTTAAGCCTTGAGCTAACAGAATATGAGGAAAAATACAGTTTCATTTGTAGCAGCTTCTAGATGGCTTTACTGAAGCAATCTTAGAGAGAATAATCTCCTTCTTTTTCCATTGTATTGTTAATCCCAACCACAACCACACAAATATGCCAACCTTGAAATCTTCATAAAGTGTTAATCACAAAATAAACCTCCTCATTCAGATCTCACACCCTAATATGAGAACTTAATTCAAACAACAATGGAAAACGCAAGAAGTTGAAGATGAACAGAGATTTCATTTGCAAACTCATAATACTTTTGAAAATTTTGAGAGAAAATGTGTGTTGTAAGTTCTAAATCATAGTGTTGTTATTTGAGAAATTTAGAAAAATGAACTATATATGTGCTGGAGATAAAACACAAAAAGTAAGAGAAAATACTCATTTGATTCTAGACAAGAGCAAATGGTATGAGCTGAGTTAAGAGAATGAATGATTTGAATCAAGATCTAAGAACCAAGAACCAAGAAAAATTAGTCCCATGATTCGAGTCATGTTTTTTTATGATTTAAGTCATGTGATCTGAGTCACAACAAGATCTATGATTCGAATCAAGATTATAAAATCAAAACCTAAAATTTGTTCCCATAGTTTGATTCAAGACAAATTCGCATAATTAAAATCATATTTTTCATAACCATGTTTGATTTGAGTAAGACCATCCTGTGATTTGAATCAAATTCATAGAATGAAATCATGATTTTTCACACTCACTTTGATTCGAGTCAGCCAATGTTCTAATTCAAATCAAACTTTCAAAAACTCAAATTTTAACAAAAAGGGTTAAATAAGTTTTTAGTCCCTCTAAATATTTCAAATTTCGTTTTTAGTCCCTCTAAAATTTTCCTTCAAAGAATAGTCCTTCTAAAAAATTAAATTTTAACTTTTGGTCCCTCCTGCAATCAATTTAGCGACGATTTTTACAACTTAGCAACGGTTTTAGCAACAACTTTTATTTAGCGACGAAATTAGAGACCATTTTAACTACGATTTTCTCAGGAGGGACCAAAAGTTAAAATTAAATTTTTTAGGAAGACCATTCTTTGAAGGAAAAGTTTAGAGGGACTAAAAACGAAATTTGAGATATTTAGAGGGACCAAAAACTTATTTAACCCTAACAAAAATGAAGTGTTAATTTAAACCGATACTTGACACGATGTGACCATGCTCAAATGTGTTTCTTAATCCAAACCTCAAACTAATTGACTAGAAACATATTGCGTTAACCTTAATCAAATAGTTCTATTTCTGCATGCATATAAACGATTTAGCAATCAACCATATAATTTACAACTATGTGAGAAAACTCTATTTCGACAAATAAACCAAACCACTAAATTGACGGACAACAAAACATAAACGAGTAAATTCTAAGAGGCACAGCAAATTCTTCTCTCTCACACACAAACCCTCTCCCTCCTCTCTCTCTCTCTCTCCTTCCTCCTCTCTCTCAAGTGCTTCCCCCATAAACCTCCACCTTCTCTTCCTTACACGCCTTTATATCTTTCAAATACTCTTATTTGGAGTCTTTCAGCTACTTCTTCAGGGCATATCTCTCATCATGTTTCTTAGTGGATTCGAAGACCTCACTCTCAGCACTAGCCATCAGAGAATTAATAACATAAAGCCTTTGCATATAATTAAGGGAATCTGCGACAAGCTCCTGGCATCTTGAATGTTCAGCTGAGCCAAGATGCTGAATTCAGTTTTTGAAATAAAGTCCCGGTAATCTTTCCCACTCTTGGGGGACATTGGGAATATTAGGTACAAACATTGTTGGAAGCTTGAAGTGGCTAGAATTATATGGAATGATCAGTGAGGTAGGAGGAGGACAATTATTATTACCCACAATGAGATTTCTCACTATTGGACCTGTCTTTGATCTTTTCCCAACAGGCTCCTCAATCAAAAAGAATGTTTATCCTCCTTATTAATCTCAACATCACCTTGAGCATTAGCAGGGTAATAATGTGTTAGTCTCCACATTCACATCATCAACAATAACACATAGTCATTTACATAATTAATGAGAAATGAGAATATACTATATGGAAGTTAATTGCAACTGCATAATGTAAAAAAGATCCAAAACAGTGATGATTTATTATACTTTGGAACAATATGGATGGATCATCCTCAAAAGGCAATGCTACTTAATCTTTCTAGAAACTTTCCTAGAACTAGAAGTAGACCCAGAACCATTACCATTAATATGATCATCATAAATAACTTTTTCCCTCCACACTCGGGGAGGGGGAGTTTCTGCAACTAGCCTCTTAACAGTTTCAAGGGACATTGGCCTCTCATAATCAACTATATCATCTACCCCTGCACTCATAAACTCTTCCCGCTCAGCTTCTGTTAGAGAATGTGTCACTCCAACAATCCTGCTAGGGTATCCTATAGCTCGCAGTGTCTTCGTCACCTGCATAAACAAAACACATGCATGCATGCATGCATGCATATATATAAGTCACATGCATGCAAATGCAAGATTACTGAACTGAGATGAATATAAAATGAATCTTTCTATACGTACCTCAATCCCGTTTCTGAAAGGTAAATGTCTACCAATGAGAATTAGGTCATAGGCTGGAAGAGAATAATCATTCCAAGCAGTTACGTTTATGGCTTCTCGACCATCTTTGACAGCACGAGTTTCCACACCAAGTGATTTCAATAGGTTTTCATGAATCCTTAGAGTGCGAGGATCATTGTCAACAATAAGTACTTTTACTTTTCTGAAGGGAACCGGAAGATCCTGATTATGACGACCATCATCATCGTTAGGTGCCATTGTGGCTTTGCGCTTGTTGTCAATTTTATCTTCCATATGGATTGAGAGATATGCTATGTAAACCAATACAAGAATGTGAGTTTCTTGATAAAGATAGATAGATAGATATAATATATTGCAATAGCACTTGCCTTGTGAAGAAGAACGCTAGCTTGTTTCTTTGGGGACTGAAGAAAGAAAGCTACTGTGTGTTGAGTGAAGATGGATGAATATGAATGATAAGTACTATATGAATATATAACTAACTAACTAACTTAAAGAAAAGGAAGCAAAGTTAGTTATAGAGAGTAGTTTGTTAGGTTAGGGTTTTGTATAACCAATTAACTGCCAAACTAATTAACTAACTCATGTTTCGGTTGTTACTGTGATATATAGACACTAGTTGTTGTTTGCAACGGATTAAAGTTGGTTAGTTTGTTAGTTATTCTCGTTGCTAACTTTGTATCTCATTATGTTTTTTTAACAACTTAGAAAAGTCAGACTATTTACAAGAGCTTGGCATAGATCCTTAGAACCAATTTTCATGTAATTAAAGTAGTTAGTTGCCTTGCTAAGTATAGAGTTAGGCGCAAGAAAGGCAAAATAAGATTATGAGAAAACCAAATTGTTATTCCATAAAATAAGTCACACACTTAAAAGTTACAAGAGCCTTAGTGCTTAATGGAAATCAAAGAAGACAATAAAATAATATATTGAAGGCATTTTTCTCTCTGACCTTCTAATGTACAATGAAATGTAATAGAAAAAGAGTAGTCTTTGTGTCATTTTCTAAAATATCAACAACAAAGTCTTAAATGGTATAAATATTTTGTTTTTTTTAATAATTGAGATAAGAATATATATATATATATATATATATATATATATATATATATATATATATATATATATATATATATATATATATATATATATATATATATATATATATATATATATATATATATATATATATATATATATATATATATATATATATATATATATATATATATATATATATATATATATATATATATATATATATATATATATATATATATATATATATATGCACTGATATTTTAAAATAGTTTTACACTATCATCTAGTAGTAAATCAATAATCTTCCATGTCATTAAAATTCTTTTAAAATAAAATCATGACCTATCCTGATACATGATTCTAAATTTGTATACCCCATCCCCGAAACATGTAATAGCGTATGACATTTATTTTCTGCACTTTACGGCTTTTTTATATAAAATTCTAGTAATTATGGTGTGTGTGGCAAGATAAAATCAACAAGTAGACAACCCTAAATTCAAAGACAAAAATGCATGCAATCAAACACACTATTCACACACGTGGACCTCTAGGGTAATAGCACTTGTTGCCTCGGAAAATAGTCACGTCCCTCGAATATGGGCGTTTTAGCAAAGACCTTCGATAAAAAAATATCGTAGTCCCTCGATGTCCCTCGATGTTTCCTTCGGTAAACGATCTAGTCCCTTATGAAAATTGCTAAAACGTCTCATAAGTTGCCTTCAATCATTATACGATGATTCACGCCCGTCCCTTCACATCCAACGATACGGCTTCTTACCAATCAATTGTAAGATAGCAACATCTAAAGGAGGAGGAAAAGAACATAGACCTTTTGAGTATGTAGGACGCTCGTAGTTGCTTGCTCGCAAACGAAAACCATTTCCACACTTACACTTTCAAAACATCTTCAAAAATAAACATCTCTTTGAACTATTTTCAAAACCAACACTTTGTATGCATTCTTATAGAGACGAGAATCATTACAAAGTTAGCCGCAACAGAGTCATTTTGCAAAATACTTTCAAAATCCACCACAAATCATATTTCAAACAAAGCATTTTCAAATGATCTAGCAAGCAACTAAGAGCCCGTAGATAACTACGAATGAAAAGGGTGCTAATACCTTCCCTTTTCATAACCTACCCCCCGAACTCAAGAAAATATCTCAAAGGTCTTTCCTGTTCTTTTCACCCTTTCCTTTATTGGATAAAAGAAAATTCGGTGGCGACTCTTGCTATCCGTAACAATTGCGATCAAACGCAAAACACCCAAGTCAGTTCTCCCACTATATCACAACGTCTGGTTCAATATAACCCTGCATCACAAACCCTTGAGATCCTTGAAATGGTTATTGAAAATGCTATGGTATGATGTCATGATGTTATGTGCAAATAAACATATACAAGAAAAGCAAACAAGTCCTTAGGTTTAGGCTTGCATGAAGTTTATAGGTAAGTACCCTCTTGAAGTTTAGTTGGTTCAACTTGTCCTAGAAAGTAACCGGGTTCTAGGGAATATCAATATCATTGATCTTTCTTTACTGGGCATTGTATTAGCACAAACAATATTTTCTTGCAGCCGAAATATCCCAAAAGTCCATTCTCAATGAGTGTAGTACCGAGTATCAACCAATTTCAGCTTTCCACCAAAAACAACTATCTCACTACTTCCTAATGGCCAAGTTGTTCAATTAAATATTCTAAGGTCAATTAGTGTTTCATGACACAACACAACGGTCCCATATTCTCCTTGATTCAACATAAAGGATACTGGTACCCACAAATGTGTCACACTAACGTACTATTGTTTTAACCATATCGGTATACGCCCGTACAGTCTCCACAATCTATTGCTACTTACCTAATGATGTTCCCAGATCTGGGCAGAGGATCTATATAAGAAACCCAAACATAGGCCCAAAAAATGTAAAGCAAGCAAGTCAAATAATGAAAGCATTTAAATATGATCTAGTCTCTAAGGTAACCCCACTTTTAAGATTTCTCCAGCAGAGTCTCCAGTTCTGTAATAGGTGGGAGAACTGACTTGGGTGTTTTGCGTTTTATCGCAATTATTATGGATAGTAAGATTCGCCACCGAATTTTCTTTTATACAATAAAGGAAAGGGTAAAAAGAATAGGAAATACCTTTTGAGATATTTTCTTGAGTTCGGGGGGTAGGTTATGAAAAGGGAAGGTGTTAGCGTCCTTTTCATTCGTAGTTATCTACGGGCTCTTAGTTGCTAGCTCGGCTTGAAATTCTTTGTTTGAAATGTGTTTGTGATAGTTTGAAAGTATTTTTTACAAGTGCCTTTGTTTAGGATAACTTTGTAATGATTCTCGTTTCGGAAAAAATGTATACAAAGTGTTGACTTTTGAAAATATTTCATAGAAATTATTGGTGTGTTTGAAATATGTTTTGAGAATGGTTGTGAGCAAGCAACTACAAACGTTCTACCTATTCAAAAAATATTTGTTCATTTCCTCGTCCTTTAGATATTTCTATCTTACCATTGGTTGATAAGAAGCTCTATTGTTGGATGTGAAGGCACAAGTATGGGTCATTGTACATTTATAGAAGGAAACATTGTAGGATACCTTGGTAATTTATCTTAAGGGTCTAAGATCGTTTACCGTAGGAAACATTGAAGGATCATCGGGGGACTACGATCTTGTAATCGAGGGTCTTTGCTAAAGTATCCCATGTTCGAGGAACATGACTGTTTATTTTAAGGAAACAAGTATGGGTTAACCCTAGAGGTGCAAGTGTGCAAAGTGTATTGATTTCATGCATTTTGTCTTGAATTAGAGTTGTCTACTTGTTGATTTTAAGTCTTGCCACACAAACCCTAATTACTAGCAATAATATTGAAAGCGATAAATTTCAAAAATTTAAAGTTCTACGCTATTACATCCCTTTTTTTTGGGATGTGGATACAAATCACAAATGGGAGATGAAAGCAATTAAAACCTAATTACTATTACAACCAAATTGAATAATGAAAAACAATATCTAAAAATATAAAGATAATGTAAAAAGGAAGGAAAATTGTTTTAAAAAAAACTTTATGCATCAACACATGCACTTATGCATCAATACATATCACTTCTTGCCCCTGGAAATCAAAACCAACTCAGTATGTATTGATACATAATGGTTTGCATTGACTCATTTATGTTTTTCATTTACACATGCACTTATGCATCAATACATATCACTTCTTTCTCCTGGAAATCAAAACCAACTCAGTATGTATTGGTACATAATGATTTGCATCGACTCATTTCTGTTTTGCATCGACTCATTTGTGTTTTGCATAGATTCATGCACATTTTGTCTCTCTGTAATATGTCTTGATAACAGTATGTATTGATACATAATGCATTGTACTGTCTCATACCCTGTTTTCTAACTAATATGAGTCGACTCATATGAGACATGTATCGACTTATACTATAGTTTTACCTCTAACATTTTTCGGTTGCATATATAAGTCAGTTCTCAACACATGGTTAATGAAAATGAAAAGTAAGCATATGGTTAGCTTCAGGGTAATGATATCTACATTTTATATTCACAAATGAACCACTAATGATGCTTGTATGAAGAGTTCAAAGTCAAGAAAACTTACCTTGAAACTGAAATTCGTGTTTTGATTTAGAGTTGTTGTATTGTCTTGGAGAAGTCAAGTTGCAGGTGGCTATTTTTGAGTTTGGAAAATGGTGATAGTGTTGTTACATAAGTTGTTCATGTGTTTGAATAACTTCTATATGATGTATATGAAGTATTTGGATGGTTTGTCTGGGCAAAAACTTGCAAGGTTTAAGAGGTTCAAATATTAGGACTTCAAAGCTAAAAAATGGAGGTTTTATGGACAAGTCTGGTTTTTTAAGAGTATGGGAATTTTGAGTGCTTGTTTCTCTTCCTTTTTTTTTCTGACCTCTATCTCTTGCAATTGATCTCTCTATTTATAGGCAAAAGGTTTGGGACAAAGGTTGATCAGATTTTGCAAGATCACACGTTGTGGCTAGGTTGGATTGTCAATGAAGCAAGCTTGAAGATCATAGTTCTAATGCTTTGTACTTTGCTGTATAGAGTTGTTAGACACCTTAAGCATGATCATCTAATTTTTTTATTTTATGTTTAGTGTGTATAGAAGGAACAAGTTAGAGGCTCAAGAAGAGATGACTTTGTGATTAAAGCTACTTTACAAGAATGACAATGTTAACTTT